CGTTTGTGTGCATTGCCTCAGTCGATGAGCGTGGACGTCAAAAGCCCGAAGTGACTGAAAACGGCCCTTTTATGGCCACGCCAATTTGATTTATTTGTCTTTGGGTTATTAATTCTGTTCAGGGCCCATTATATCGGTGTAGATTTCAATTGGTATCGGATGTTGTGGGGGCAATACCTACTTCGTTTCCGAGCCAATTCTCAGGTGGAATGAACAAGTGGATGGGAGAAAATTGGAGGATAAGTCCACGGGCACCCGGTTTGGAGAGTTTCATGCTATGCCCACGACGTTTATTCATATTACAGACCCCGTCGAAAAATTAAGTTAGTTTCAGAATAGCTTTTGACAATTATATGGAAGGTGTAATTCCTAAGGATTTGGTATTGGTAGATTTCCCTTCCGAGAACTCGTTCGTTTATATTAACGATTATTAATAATATTTTTTTAAGTAAAACAAAATTCCCTTCAATGTTTCTGGTTGTTTGCTACCTTATTAAAACCGGTGTTATGTTTAGGGTCTTTAATAAGCGAAGTAATTTTTGAGCAACAGTGGTCTCCAGTTAGGATATTTTTCCTATCTTGGAGAATGGGGATCGATCAAATGACCTTGAACTTTTTCAATCAATGCGCGCTTGGATGCTGCGCGCTTGCCGCCTGTCTTGGTTGCAAGCTCTAACAAAGAGCTTGTTTTCCAGCCTGCAGCACTTCGGTCAACGCTTCACACTGACCGAATTAGCAGAAATGACCAACGAGGTATGTGCAGACCAATTGTCGGTCCAGTCCCTCACTCAGCCAGCGCACCCACCGCCTTCCTCCGACAACGTCGAACTCGTAGCATGCGTTAAAGTGTTATTCGCACAAGTTCAGGCGTTAATTTTATCTCGCGACCGCTCCCGAGAACGCCGTTGCTCTCACTCCAGCCACAGGGGCCGCAACCCGAGGCGCCCGTGATCTCGCTCACCGTCGAACGGAATTTGCTGGTATCACCGCCGCTACGGTAATGCCGCAAAGAGGTGTCTCACACCGTGCACCTACACCCTTAGGTCGAGAAACTAGCTAGCCGACCGGTCTAGGCGACTACCGTGTCCAGCTCGCCACAACCCAGTTGCCTGTTTTTCGTTACCCACCGTCACACCGGGATACGCTTCGTGGTCGGTACAGGCGCACACGTCAGCGTCATATGCCCTCGCTCCGCTGACCTACATCGTCTCTCTTCCGTGGAACTTTTTCCCAGCGAGTCGCACACCCATCAAAACCTGCGACGAGCGTTCACTCAC